GGAAACTAATCAAGGAGAGAAGCAACTTAGAACTAAGGAGACATTTCCTAACAGTGAGGACAATTAACCAGTGGAACAGCGTTGTGGGTGCTCCATCACTGGAGGTTGTAAAGAAGAGACTAGACAGCCATTTGTCTCAATTGCTATAGGGTTTCCTGCTTGAGTCAGAGGTTGGACTAGAAGACCTCAGAGGTCCCTTCCAACTCTGTTATTCTGGATGTTGAGTCCTCAAATTTTGCATTCTGAGAAGGGGAGCTTCCTGAGTCAATCAGAATAGATGTTGGAGTGTTTACAGGGTGACTACTATTGTGAGACAACCCAGGAGCAAACACAGGACACAGAGGCTTTGTCTTTTAACAGTGGTTTAACAGTTGTTTATATACAACATATATATACATACATGTGTTAGGCAAATGCCAGGCAATCAATCAATCTTGAACTCTACACTGAGAACTACAATGGAGATAGAACATGAGGAGAAAGAGATAGAGAGAGAGAGAGATGCCCTCACATGGCCTCCCTTATATAGACAGCTTCTTAAAGTGGCAGTACCCTGCTGACTCATCCTCAGTTCACCATCTTGGCTTACAGCCTCACAGCAGCTGGTCAGCTATTAAATCTTCAAAATCCACTCTGTCTTCCGGATTTGACCGGCTTCCGAAAAGTTGCAACATCAACATGCCTGGTCTAAGGTTCCAGCCCTCAAGATATTTTGATGGCTTGTTCCTGCTGCTGGGTAGTTATGGCTGTTTTAGAATAGAATAGAATAACAGAGCTGGAAGGGACCTTGGAGGTCTTCTAGTCCAACCCCCTGCTAAAGCAGGAGACCCTAAACCATTTCAGACAAGTGGCTGTCCAGTCTCTTCTTAAGAACCTCCAGGGATGGAGCACCCATAACTTCTGGTGGCAAGCTGTTCCTCCTGGTTGATTGTCCTCCCTGTGAGGTTGCTTCTTGAACCCGCTGCCGATGGGCCGAGCCTCTCTCAGCTCTGCCTTCTAACCCTCCTCTCTTTCTGACCTTTTTTCTCCAGAACGGGAAGTCGTGGTCAACATGTTGAATAGCTTGTCTCGGAAGCAGCTTCCGTATGTCCGGCATCAGTACCCCATCCCAGGCCGGATGCCCTACCAAGGCTACTATAGCCCTTGCACCGACCGCCATTACTGCTTGCGTGGAATGGACTACTACGTGGACGGAGCCCCCAGCACCGAGAGGCAGATTAGCCAGCTAGTTGAGAAGATTGTAAGGTTCGGAGGGTTTGGTCCGGCAGCTGCCTCTTCCTCCAACTCCTCCTGGGGGTCTTTTGGGGGGAGGGCTGAGTGGCTCGGACAGACCAGTGGGGCACGGCAGTGACAGGCAGAGGGCAGGATGCCACCCTGGAGTTAGAGTTAGGGTCCGTAAGGTGGAGACTCCAAGCTGGAGAGCAACCAGCCTTGGTGAAGTTCTCTCCAAAGTTTACAATTTTTAAGACTTGCGGGCTACAACTCCCAGAATTTCTCAGCGAGCCAGGCTGGCTGAGGAATTCTGGGAGTTGAAGTCCACAAGTTCTTAAAGCTGTCAAATTTGGAGACCCCACCTTAAGGTCCATGGGCAGTTTTTTTTCTTGACCTCAGCAATGCTATGACGGGCAGACATGCTGGCGAGGGAATTCTGGGAGTTGAAGTCCATCAGTCTTAAATCATGCCGGCTGGAGAACTCGGGAAATTAAAACCCACCCACCTTAAAGCTGGCTGGCTGGGGAATTCTGGGACTTGGAGTCCACCAGTCTTAAATCATGCTGGCTGGAGAACTCGGGAAATTAAAACCCACCCATCTTAAAGCTGGCTGTTTTGGGGAATTCTGGGAGTTGGAGTCCACCACTCTTAAAGCATGCTAGCTATGGAATACCAGATGTTGATGTCCACCCCATCTTAAAGTTGCTGAGGTTGAGAAATGCTGGCCCAGAGCACCAGTCCTCCTGCGCTCCTTTCTTCAGAACTATCCTTCCCACTGCCTGAAAATGCTCTCTCTCCAACAGTGGAGGTCAGCCTTGTGCTTCCGTTGACAAGAAGGAAGGCAAAATTCCTGCTACAGGAGCCCTGATTTCAAATAGCCAGCTGTTGTTCCTGGGATGAGAGCTTCTTCTGATGTTTTTTTCCCCTCTTGAGGGGTTGGTGGGGGAGGAGGAGGAAGAGGAGGAAGAGGAGGAGGAGGAAAATGAAAAGGAGGAGGAGGAAAAGGAAAAGGAGGAGGAGGAGGGGTTGCATTGAATTTCCTAAGCTGCTTCATGAACGAATTTTGTAAAATGGTTTACAGCAACGGGTTCCATCTCTACATGCCAATTGACCCATCACAGGTTTTAGAAGAACATCTGCATGGATAGCAAAGGAAGCTTTATGGGAGAACCCACAATTTTAGTTGCTAAATAGCAACCGTGTGTCTGTTAAATAAAAGATCAATGGGGTAGATTTCATGAAGATCCATGCTGGCTGGGGAATTCTGGGAGTTGAAATCCACACACCTTGAGTTTACTAAAGTTGAAGGACAGTGCTGTATACTGTGGTCATATTTCCCTCCTACACAAACAGAGGTGGGGGGGACAGAGACAGAGAAAGATGGAGTGAAAAATGGAGAGAGAAAGAGAGATGGAGAAGGGGAGAGATGGGGAGAGAGAGACAGAAATGGAGAGAGAGAGAGAGAGAGAGAGAGATGGAGACAGCAATGGAAAAAGAGAGATGGGGAGAGAAAGAGAAGGACAGAGATGGAGAGAGAGAGATGGAAATAGAAAGAGAGAGAGATGGAGAGAGAGACAGCAATGGAGAGGGCTAGAGAGATAGAGAATGAGAGAGACACAGATGGAGAGATGGAGAGACAGAAATGGAGACAGAAAAATAGAGAGAGAAGATGGAGACAGCAATGGAGAAAGAAAGACAAAGATGAGGAGAGACAAAGAGAGATGAAGAGAGAGATGGAAAGAGAGAGAGAGTGAGTAAAGGACAAAAAAGAGTGAAAGAGATGGAGAGAAATGGAGCAAGAGAAACAGATGGTGAACAGAGAGAGGGACTTGCATTTAGCACTGGAGGAAAAAACCCTTTCCTGTGGGGACTTAAACATACAAATGTTAATTTTTTCACCAACACCACAGAAACAGGTGGACATTCTCTGTGTTTACCTCGTCCTCCTTGTGTGCAGAGCACTCTCTCCTAACTTAAAAAAAAAATGTAGGCTGAATTAAAAATTAACTGCGAAGTCTACATGTCGGAGCCGATAAGCTCACCATGCCAATGTCGGTTCCAAAGTCTTTGTTGTGCCTGTCTAAAACCGACCAAGGATGGGACGAGAGGAAGGAAATACTAGAATGGCCATAAAGGGATTAGATATCCTGACATTCTTGGAAGAAAAAGAAAGAGGAATGCCATCCTGTTAAATCACTTCTTGGGATGACAAGATTCAGCAAATACTTCAGGAAGGCATTTGATAAAGTAGATCCCAACCTATTTCTTGGCAAGATAGGAGAATGTGGGATATTCCAGCAACCAATTTGCCACAGGTAGTCCTCGACTTACAACAGTTCATTTAGCGACTGTTCAAAGTTAGTTTATGTAACAAACGGGGCAAAAACAGTCCTAAAACGAGGCAAAACTGACTTAACAGATGTCTCACTTTTAACGCTGTGTTTTGATCGATGCTTTTATTTTTATAGTGGGAGGGGCCCCTCAAAGAGGGGCATATATGGCTCTCAAAAATCACCATCTGCGAAGTGTTGGAAATGCCATCAGACACCTGGATCATTTTACTATATGTGGTGGACATGTGAGGAAGCTAAAAGATATTGGACTAAAAATACCCACATGGTTGGGGGGGGAAAATGACAAAAACAGCACCTAGATTTAAAACCAGAGACATTTTTATTGGGAATTTTACCTGAAGGTTACAATAAAGAAGTGACATACTTGATTATTAATGTATTAACTGCAGCTAGAATTGTATTTGCTTAAAATTGGAAAAAATGAGAAAACTCCGATGGAGGAGGAGGTGATTAAGAAAATAATGGAATGTGCAGAAATGGGCAGATTAACATTAGCAATTAGAGAGCAAGAAGAAAAAAGACTATTATAAGATATGGGGTTTATTCTATCCATGGTTAAATAGAATAGTAGGAAATGGAAGTATATTATAGTAATTATGATATGTTATAACTGATTATCTTTAAATAAAATATAATATGAATAAAAATGAGTCAGAATTGAGATGTGCTCTAAAGGATAATATGGAATTGAAATTAAAGTCTAATGATTGTATAGTAAGAATATAATATGATATGGAAAGTTAATTAATGCAATATAAATGTAAAAGAGTATAGATATTGTGCACAGGATATAAGTACCAACCAACACATCGTATAACTGAAAGAAGGTTTTATTTGTTGTTTTATGTTTGTTGTTAAAAATAAAAAAAAACTTTTTATTTTATTTTTTTAAAAGTCACCATCTGGCTCCAGGGTTGCCAACACAGCTTCGAATGTCTGTGGCAGGGGTGTCAAACTCGCCGCTGCACAGGCTGGGTGTGTCATGCGCTGCCCATGCTCACCCCAGTTTAGCGAGCGGCGAGGGGGGGGGGAAGGTCGCAATAACGACAATGTGACGATGCGAGCTTGACACCCCTGGTCTATGGAGATCCTCAGTCATCCAGGTCATGGTTGTCCCAAAGTTGTTGTTTTTTGCAAGAGGCAACTGGGAATAGTTGGCACAGCTTCACCCCGTTCTGACCCAACCGGGTTCCCAAAGAACAGACAAAGGCAGCAGCCCCCCACCTTTTAAGGTTTAATATCAAATTCTGCTTTCCACTAATTAGCTCCAACAAGAAAGAGCCTTGTCAAGTTGTTTGTCCAGGCTGCCAAAAACCCAGAGATAAGAACTAATTTACAAAATTCTCCAAACACCAAACTAAGATGTCCACCCGTTGAGTTTCAGAGCTTCTTTGCTGTCTGCAAAGAACGCTTTTCCAAACCTGGCTTTTATCCTCTTGAGGGAGGGGCCATTGCCTTGCAGCCTTACTCCCGAGTCGCCTGTGCTGCTGTCATTGTTCTTTCCTCCGAGCAATCCTTCGTGCACGCGCACTTGGCACAGGCTCCTCGGGAACCTCCTCATCGCTGCTGCCAGTCCTCACAATCTCTGAAGGCAGCAGTCCACTCCCGGATGGTCCCGGCCCTTCATCAGAGTCCTCGCTCTCCTCAGCCGTCCGCACCTGCTGCCAGCTAACCACAATACCCCAAGAGGTTCAGAAAGCCCCCTAGCCCCAACTCACAACTCAGTCTTGGCCCTATAGAGATGTGGCAAAAGTTGGCTCCAACAATTCAGCAGAAAGCAGCAGTTTCAAGTGTGGATTCTCCGAAAGGTTTGCAAAAACTCCCTCAAAGTATCTAAAACATCATGAACAGGCAGCAATTGGAACTTCTGCCTAGTCCATTATTTCGCGGCCCCCCTGAGCTACCAATTGAAGGCCTAACAGCCCAGGCAGTCAAGGGGGAGCCCCAAAACAATCCCCCATACCCCCGGGGCGGGGGGGACACTGAAGCCACGATCACCCCAAGTGCGCCATGGAACTCCCAGGCTTAACCGGGTAGCTCCAGAACAGCCGCTTTCGTTTTCAAGGCCTCCAGCTGATTTTCGGGAGCAGCGGCAGCCATTTTGGCAGTTGTACAGGCTATTCAGGAGACTGGTAGGGCCGCCACTGGAGGTTTTTAAGAAGAGACTGCGCAGCCGCTTGTCTGGAATGGTTTGGGATCTCCTGCTTGAGAAGGGGGTTGGACTAGGAGACCTCCAAGGTCCCTTCCGACTCAGAATAGATTGAACGGATGGATTGAAAAGATATTGGTTGGCGGAGCACTAAAAAGATTCTAAGCTAAACTAACTAGCTAACTAACCAAGGAGAGAAGCAACTTGGAACTAAGGAGAAACTTCCTATCGGGGAGGACAATTAACCAGGGGAACAGCTTGCCACCAGATGTTGTGGGAACTTCATCACTGGAGGCTTTCAAGAAGAGATTGGACAACTATTTGTCTGAAATGGTGTAGAGATGTTGATGGCAAATCTATGGCGCTTAGAGCCCTCGCCAGCTTTTCTTCTGGTTTATGGCCTGCACATGTGTGCCGGTCAACTGGTCTTTGCGGGTGCCGGAGCACTGGAAAATGCCCCAAAAAATGGCCTGTTTTTCAAGACATTTTCTGGGTCGTTTTTGACCCATTTTAGGCCATTTTCTGGCCATTTTCCAGGCCATTTTAGGCCGTTTTTCAGGCTGTTTTTCAGGCTGAAGAATGGTCCAAAATGCCCTGAAAATGCCCCCCAAACAGCCTGAAAATGGCCAAAAATGGCCAAAAAACAGGCTGTTTTCCAGGCCATTTTCAATCCATGGGCCACTTTAGGCCATTTTTAGACCATTTAAGACTGTTTTTCAGGCTGAAAAATGGCCCCAAAAGGGCCTGAAAATTGCCCCAAAAGCAGGCTGTTTTTCGGGTGATTTTGAAAATGGCCCAGAAAATGGTCTGAAAACAGTGCCAAAAATTCCCCCCAAACAGGCATGTGCACACTGGCCAGCTGGTCTTTGGGTTTCCGGCACCCACACATGCATGAACATCCATGCGCATTCCAATTTGGGCACTCGGTGCCAAAAAGGTTCGCCATTACGGGTCTAGGGTCTCCTGTTTGAGTAGTGACTCCCAAGAGAGTAGGCAGCACTGTGTGTCTAGTCTAGTGACACTTCTAATCATGCTCCTTTCCCTCCTTTTGTCTTCCAGGAGTTTCCCATACTACGACCACCAGGTGGACATGATGCTCTGTGCACGTTTGCCAAGCCTGCCTCCATCTTTCCCGTATATGAACCTTAAGTAAGGAAATCCAAAACTTGCATTGAAAAAACAAAACTGCCCCATATAATGAAGCGCAGTGGTCCCCAACTGTTGGTGAGGGAGGGGGAAGGAAATGGTTCTGGGGGGGGGGACAGGCACACACACACACACATGCACAGCTCCATTTGCACGAGCAGCGGGCATTTGCACACGCGCATGGAGCTGGGCAAGAAACAATGAATGGAAATTAATCAAGGGGAGAAGCAACCTGGAATTAAGGAGAAACTTACTAATAGTGAGGACAGTTAACCAGTGGAACAGAATGCCACCAGAAGTGGTGAATGCACTGCAAGTTTTTAATTAGATTTGTCTGAAGTGGTGTACGGTTTTTCCACCTAGCCAGGGGGTTAGACTAGAAGACCTCCAAGGTCCCTTTCCAATGCTATTCTGTTATTTAATGGATGGAAGCTTCTCAGGGGGATCTTCAACCTAGAATTAAGGAGAAACATCCTGACAGTGAGAACAGTTAACCAGTGGAGCTACTTGGCCTAAGCCTGATCCGCTTAAGAGCGGTGCGCTTCACTTAACAACGGCAGTAACTTGCTCAACCACTGCTGAGGGAAAGGAAAGTAAAAGCAGGCATGGCTTAATCAATGCCTTGCTTAGCAGTGGAAATTCTGATCGCAACTGGGGCCATAAGTCAAGTACTCCCTGTGGGAACATGGAGGCCCTGTCAAAATCCACTCCGTCTTGTGGATTTGACCGGCTTCTGGAAAGTTCCAACTTCAACACACCTGGTCTAAGTTTCCAACCCTCAAGATATTTTAATGGCTTTTTCCTGCTGCTGGGTAGTTATGGCTGTAATAGAATAGAATAGAATAGAATAGAATAGAATAGAATAGAATAGAA